GGCGGGTGGGAGCCGGGGGTGTCGGGGTTGGGCGCTGACGCTGCTGCCCACTGGCACCGTGGGGTTGCTTTCCACCAAAAACCTGTGGGAAACAGTCAGGGCTTTGGTTTCTGAGGCAAAAAGGCAGCATTTTGCACATCCTGGGGTATTGAATCACTTGGCAACAGAGCTGCCAGCAGATCTGCTGGAGTCTTCCCCGAGTGCAGGGGGCTCGCAGGGATCACAGAATCACAGACCGTTAGGGATTGGAAGGGACCTCCAAAGCTCATCCAGTCCAATCCCCCTGCCGGAGCAGGAACACCCAGATGAGGTCACACAGGAAGGCGTCCAGGCGGGTTTTGAATGTCTGCAGAGAAGGAGACTCCACAACCTCTCTGGGCAGCCTGGGCCATGCTCTGTCACCCTCACTGAGAAGTTTCTTCTCCAATTGAAGTGGAACCTCCTGTGTTCCAGTTTGTGCCCATTACCCCTTGTCCTATCATTGTTTGTCACCGAGAAGAGCCTGGCTCCATCCTCGTGACACTCACCCTTTAAATATTTATAAACATGAATGAGGTCTCCCCTCAGTCTCCTCTTCTGCAAACTAAAGAGCCCCAGCTCCCTCAGCCGCTCCTCAGAAGGGAGATGCTCCACTCCCTTGATCATCTTTGTAGCCCTATGCTGGACTCTCTCCAGCAGTTCCTGTCCTTCTTGAACTGAGGGGCCCAGAACTGGATCCCTGTGCCACCCACATGGGATGGTGGTGCTTGATCGCGCATCACCAGGGCCATGTTTGGCGGTGGCAGTGGGCTGAGAGGATGGCCCACGGGGGTGCACAGCAGTGAGGAAGCCTCCCTGCCAGCCAGGTGACACAGGTGGGTGACAGTAGACATGGCGCTGCTGCTCTCCATGGAGGCAGAGCATCCTCTGCTGCCCACAGCAGACGAATGCGGTGCCACCGGCATCACCCCCTGAGCCCTCGCTGCCCACGATCCCGCTGAGCCTGCAGCTGCTTGGCCAAGCTGCAGGGATGCCCCTTGGTCCAAGGTCTCCAGGAGAACCCTGCAGTGCTTGCTCTGGAGCGGGTCTTTGAGCATCTCCTGGAGCCTGGCTCCAAGGAGCATCATGCTGATGCAGGCCAGGAAAGGCAGCCTGATCCTGCCCCAACTCATCATGAGGGTTTGCTCAAGCTGGGAAATGAACCCAGACACTGCCTGGGATGGGCAGCGGGTGCTGGGGCAGATCCGTGGCAGCAGCAAAACCCCTTGGGCACCTCTGCCCACCCTAGTGCCTTTTCCTGGCACAACTTCTCTCGCAGAAACTGAGGCAGGGAGCAGAGCAGTGGGGCCGGGAGCTGCCACCCACCACCATGTTGCCTCCCTGTCCAGGATGTTCGATGTAGGCGGCCAGCGCTCAGAGCGGAAGAAATGGATCCACTGCTTTGAGGGGGTGACGGCCATAATTTTCTGCGTGGCCTTGAGTGCCTACGACCTGGTGCTGGCTGAAGATGAGGAGATGGTGAGTTCGGGGAGATGAAGCTGGTACTGCAAGCTGTTCCCTCCTTGGGAGGCCAGAGGAGCGCTCCCTCCTTTGGTGGCCACCTGTACCCTGGCCAGCATGGCCCAGGCATTGCAGGGCCCTTAGCACCCCCTGCTCGGGCAGGCAGGAGCGGTGGGGTGGGCACTGCTTGGGGGTCCCTGCCCAGCTCAGGCTGCTGTCTCCCCTGCCAGAACCGGATGCACGAGAGTATGAAGCTGTTCGACAGCATCTGCAACAACAAGTGGTTCACCGACACGTCCATCATCCTCTTCCTCAACAAGAAGGACCTCTTTGAGGAGAAGATTGTGCACAGCCCCCTGACCATTTGCTTCCCTGAGTACACAGGTACGGCTGTATCCCTCGGTGCCCTCCCCAGTCCTCCTGACAGGAGCAGGCAGTGCCTTGCCCAAAACGCTGTAGCAAGAGCTGCTGGGGATGGAGATGTTGGCTCCCCTGTGCCTGGGGAGCGGTGTATTAGGGCAGCAGGTGGGGCGTGGTGGTATTTGGGGTGTCTCCAGGCGACCGTGGGGCAGCCCAGTGTCTCCTCCTCTCCAGGGGCCAACAAATACGACGAGGCGGCCGGCTACATCCAGAGCAAGTTTGAGGACCTGAACAAACGGAAGGACACCAAGGAGATCTACACCCACTTCACCTGCGCCACCGACACCAAGAACGTGCAGTTTGTGTTTGACGCCGTCACCGACGTCATCATCAAAAACAACCTGAAGGACTGCGGGCTCTTCTGAGGGCCAGCACTGCCCAGGTGGGTGGTGGTCCTGGTGGTGGCACCCCAAATGGGGTGGTCACCGAGCACTCTCCAGGGATGGGGCGGGTGCTGTCTGTGTTGGCAGTGGGTGCCCGTACTCCCCTACACCCCCCCACTCACCACCAGCTTTCTCCTAGGACCCACGGCTGTGCCGGCGATGGAAGGACCGCGCCGCCCCTCACTCCTGCTTCTCTTCGGATTCATCCCTCCACCCCCACCCCACAAAGAGACTTTTTGGATGCCAGCACAGTGGCAGGGCCCGTGTCCTCCCTGCCGCCCCTGCTCGCCTCCATCCTCTTCCTCCTCACTGGCATCCCCCTTTTTGGGGAAAATGAGGTTTTAATCTTGTTTTTTAAGCCCCCAACCACTCCACCCCTCCCTGTCCCTTTGCTCCCGCGCCCTGGCGCT